TCATTAACTCGATTTATTCTTCACGACGAATTTACTACTCCTCGGCATCTGTGATTATTTGTATTAAATCAACAAAATAGTTTTTTTGGGCACATTGGCTTCTGCATGCAAGTTTATGCTAGTTACGATGAGATGGAAATAAATAAGTTATAGCTTGTTTTCATCTTCGCTATTGACGGTAATTTCTGTACATTCATTGTTTTTTTTTTTCACGATCCGTAGCAATTGCCTTTTCATTTTCCTTTAAATTCACGGCTGAGTTTGTTTACTTTGATATCCAATGATATCTCAGACTGAAGAGTTGCGTGTCGCTTCTTGGTTTGCAGTGCACCGTTTTTAGTGTACAGTGCACAATGTCCTGGCTGTTTGCAGTGCACCATATCTTAATTGGCTTGCAGTGCACCATATCATTGCTTACAGTGCACAGTATCCTGGCTTCCAGCGCACCATATTCCGGCTTCCAGCGCACCATATTCCGGCTTCCAGAGCACCACATTCTGGCTTCCATCGCACCATATTCAGGCTTCCATCGCACCATATTCTGGCTTCCAGCGCACCATATTCTGACTTCCAGCGCACCATATTCTGGCTTCCATCGCACCATATTCTGGCTTCCAAGCTTCCATCGCACCATATTCTAAATCCAGAGCACCATATTCTGGCTTCCATCGCACCATATTCCGGCATCGCATCGCACCATATTCTGACTTCCATCGCACCATATTCTGGCTTCCATCGCACCATATTCTGGCTTCCAGCGCACCATATTCTGGCTTCCATCGCACCATATTCTGGCTTCCAGCGCACCATATTCCGGCTTCCATCGCACCATATTCCGGCTTCCAGAGCACCATATTCTGGCTTCCAGCGCACAATATTCTGGCTTTTATCGCACCATATTCTGGCTTCCAGCGCACCATATTCCGGCTTCCAGAGCACCATATTCTGGCTTCCGGCGCACCATATTCTGGCTTCCAGCGCACCATATTCCGGCTTCCAGCGCATCATATTCCAGCTTCCATCGCACCATATTCTGGCTACCAGCGCACCATATTCTGGCTTATAATATTCTGGTTCCAGCGCACCATATTCCGGCTTCAGAGCACCACATTCTGGCTTCCAGTGCACCATATTATGGCTTCCAGAGCACCATATTCTGGCTTCCAGAGCACTATATTCTGGCTTGTAGTGCACCATATTCTGGCTTCCAGTGCACCATGTTCTGGCTTCCAGTGCACCATATTCTGGCTTCCAGCGCACCATTTTCTGGCTTCCAGTGCACCATATTCTGGCTTCCAGTGCACTATATTCTGGCTTCCAGTGCACCATATTCTGGCTTCCAGTGCACCATATTCTGGCTTCCAGAGCACCATATTCTGGCTTCCAGTGCACCATATTCTGGCTTCCAGCGCACCATATTCTGGCTTCCAGCGCACCATATTCTGGCTTCCAGAGCACCATATCTTCCCATCTCAAACATTTTCTTACGCCGCATCCAACATAAATTCCAGTTTATCCTCGTACGTTTACGATGCATTAAACAAAGTTAACTACATAGCAGGAGTTTATGTTGATTTTCCTGCTCTACAATGAAGAAGAACTGCGGCCACAAGCCACGATGCTGATTATAGATCAGGCAACGGGTGCAGGTGTATATTTTGCTGCCCCTACCCCAGCATTTCCATAATGGCTGCCGTCATTCTATTGTTTGTATAATTGCCTAAAGACCCGACACTCCTGCTCTCCTCTTGTAGATGATGTTGTTGCACAGAAATGCTACAAGATCTTGGGTCACCTCAAACAATGTGCACATCCCTTTAACTAAATTATAATAACAGGTGGACGCGTTACTTCAATTTTGGACTCGGACTAATGCTTTAGTGCTGCTTGGTGCTGAGAAAAATGTTTTGATGGTGTTGGAGTTTTCTTAGTTTTGGTTTCAATTTAGTTTGTGCCGAAGAGAAGCGAGACCTGAAAGAAAACAAAGTAATTTTGAAGTCTACGCTTAATTTTTCTTGGCAATCTCTGAGGTGAGGATCTCGGTTCATGTGCGATGGCTATTTATGGAGAAATAGTGAAGGCAATGGAAAGCAAGAGACTTTTCTTGTTGGTTTGGCTGTCTGTTAGTAACAAGAAGTTACGTCTCACCAACCGAAGGCAATGCTCTCGACACAAATTTTCGAGCTTTCAAAAACCGAGGCTTGCGCAGCGCAGTGTATTTTGGCGAGCTACAGTGACAGAAATGACTTGATAGCGCGGGCTGGTGTGTTGTCTGTGGAGTGGTATGTTGTCTGTGGTGTCTGGTGTGTTGTCTGTTAATAATGTATTATATACACGTAGGCGTGTGAATGTATGAGATACATCCAATCACACGTGCGCACTGCAACCACTCACGCACACTTATACCCTCCCACACATGCTTCGGTAAACATACAAGAGTGTTTTAATCACATAATGTATGCATGTATAGTATACACAATAAAAGTGAATAAACTGCAATATTGTCGAATGAACGAACTGCTCTGCGTCGCAGCACTTGATTCATGAGCGAATGAAGAGAGCTATACCATGAAGTACGTATATAGTATTTGATTTAGTAAAATATAAGTTCATAAATAAATCCCTAATTGAAAGAAGTATTTAAATAGCGTGCAGCAAAATTCGGGCAAAATGCACGAATTTTTGTTTTTGAATGCAAAATTAGAAAATCATTTTCAAATTTTTTGCATGGAAAATTCAAGGAAAGATTTTCAGGGAAAATTCTAGCCTCTTGATTCGTGGGAAGTAATTTAACCCATTTAATATGTTTTACGACAAAAATTTAACAATATTCATTGTAACTGCAACGAATAATAAATTAAAGCGACTTTGTAGCAGAGCATGTAGATTTTTTCTGACGCATTTATTTACTTTGTTTTTGTGAACGCATTTTTTTCTGACGCATTTGTGTTTTTGTGGTGCTCTCTTTACCACACTTCCAGCCAACGTATGCGCCGCGTCTTTCCTACATGTATAATATGCAATAACTTCGACAATATTCTGACAGAGTAGGGAAACATTTTCAGTCCCTATTCGCATACTGGTAATATAATTCATGTTATATTACCAGTCCAATTAGAATGATATACATTCTAAGAATGTATATCAATTTAATGACAGATTCAAGCGCTATTTGCAAAGGGTATAGCAGCCATGTAATGCGTTGTTATGCCAGTTGAGACTAGAATCATGTACGTGAAGTCCTTCGTGTTTGGTGGTAGATCTACTATAGCGACCATAGCATGACGCCATACAAGTGTTCGAACACGTTTGCTATCTCGTCGAATAGCTTCTTCTGATATCCTGTCGGGCGGCCGTACTTGTTATTAATTTTAAACCTGGACCGAAATGAATTACAGTAAACTGAATTTCTGTTATGATCTCATCTCAACGATGGGGGTTTGTTGGTTTGCGCTAACTTATAATTTATCACGCAGTGAGTTGACTTCATCGTCGAAAAACCCTCTATTACAAATCAAATATAAGGACTGAAAGCTTCATTAAGGCCATAATGATGCCGTCATTTTGGAGACAAAGGTTTGAGGCAAGCAATGGGTTAGCGGTTGCATATGAGCATTTTTTGTGCTGATTCATGGGATCAATGTCTTAAGAAATATCATCATTCATTTGATAAGCAGTCGTCTTCAAATAACCTCATTACTACCTATATTGTATTGAATTTGCCACGTATGACATGGAAAGCTGCTGATGGCAACGACATTTGTGTTGTAAAGGTTATGGTGGGTTCGTGCGAGTTATCCGACTCGTTTGTAGTAAATCAAACTTGGTTGCGTAAGTTTCGCATCCTAAAAGTTGCGTTTGACGTGCGTAACGCTTCAAAAAAATCTCACGATGAAAGAAACTAGATGTTTGATATCACAAAGCCTTGTAGGCCATGAGAGAGTCATTAGCTGATTAGAGTAAGGGAAGGTTGGATGAATTGAGCAGTCCAGCACACAGAGCCTCGCTTCAGATATTTCTCGCTAAAGTATACACAATACACACAAGCTTTACTGATCGTCCTTGTGTGGTTTGTCGACGCACTTTGTCTATTGCATTGGTTTTGAGAAGGATCCATCTTATGATTAGGGCTTCTTTGAGGTGCTGAACAAACTAGTCCGACAATTACGGACAAAACACGCAAACCTTTGGACAAGTTGCACGAACAATGGCGTCTTCTTTGTGGCGACATGTGTCCCTAATTATGATATCTTGTCACCACCTGCGAGTGATGACAATTTCGGTCTCATTGTGACTGAAGACTTACTCGCGTGCCCGAATTACTGGGGTCTAGCGTGCCCGGATCACTGGGGTCTCGCGTGTCCGGATCACTGGGGTCTCGCGTACCCGGATCACTGGGGTCTCGCGTACCCGGATCACTGGGGTCTCGCGTACCCGGATCACTGGGGTCTCGCGTGCCCGGATCACTGGGNTACTCGGGTCTCGTGTACGTGGATTACTCGGGTCTCGTGTACGTGGATTACTCGGGTCTCGTGTACGTGGATTACTCGGGTCTCGTGTACGTGGATTACTCGGGTCTCGTGTACGTGGATTACTCGGGCTCGTGTACGTGGATTACTCGGGTCTCGTGTACGTGGATTACTCGGGTCTCGTGTACGTGGATTACTCGGGTCTCGTGTACGTGGATTACTCGGGTCTCCTATATGTTGTGACTGAAAAATTTTTGGTGGCAGATATTTTTTATAAAAGTGTTGTTCAAACTTAGAGAGCGTATCTCATTGATTAGTTTCTTAATGTTTTGCTTCATTTTGCTAATTAGGTGTAAATTAGGGAATAGAAAGGTTTTACTGTAAAATGTCAATAGACTTGCTTTTAAAAAATGAACAAAATGTTTTTAACATCGTTTTCTGCTTAAATTGTTTTACCTATCATCCGCATAAGGAAAGCTTTTTATTGACCAATTCTCGTTAAGAAGAAAGGAGAAATTTAAACACAAAGGGTTCGTTCTAAACCTTCACTGATATGTTATTGATATGTACAATAGTTACATGCGTACGCCACTTCACCATATCTTACAATAGATTACGAACAAGACAGCATTACAATGAAGTTAGTAATAAAAGTCATAGAAAAGCAGGGTCATCGAATATCTGAAGCTGATACGGTGAACATTTACAGCATTAATTCTTGGTTTCAGTCATCGAATATTCATTGTAAATAAATGTAATTTATCATTTAAAAGTCTAGTTTCACATTCAATGATTAGCAATTTTTTAAATGAAGTTGAGATTAAATTTTTGATATTAATTCAGATCTATCAAGTTAGTTTTGGTTTGACGCGTGCCTCGCTGCGCTCTACGGTGGTAGAGCACGGAGCACCGCATGACACCTCATGGCAGCGCATGGTTCGGTAACCTGACTGCACCATGCCTACACTTAGTTAATTAAACGGGTCATATTGTCCAAATATTGACACAATTTCTTACCCGCAGCCAAACTATGTCAGGATGACCCACTCAAGAGCGAGAAATCGCTGTGTATTTTGGATAAAACTTCAGTTATTTATCTGAGTGTAGGCTGACGCGTGCACTCCACTCCCTCTCCTACAGAAGGGAGAGGCTTGGGATGGACGGGTTAGGCCAGATGAATTACTGGCAGATGATCAAACGTTTATCAGGAGTTGGGACGGTTTGTTTCTAATTCTTTTTTAATTTTACATATGAAAATTACCTAATGCTGTAGAATCTCGAATAAATAGCAATGTTTATAAATGAAATTTTGTCTCCTGAATTCTGAGATGGGCTGTTGGTAGACAACTGCCCGTGATTGTTCACTAGTTTATGGGTACGATCGATGTTACGGAGTATGCTTGTATTCTTAAATATTATTATAAATACTCTATGTAGTTGCAGCGGCTATTGATGTATAAGAATTGTACAGGTATTTACATAAGACAAATGAGCAGCCTTACTGCACCGCAGGCGACAAGGTAGAGGCTATACTGCACACGGGGGGAGGCGTAAGCTCAGTAGACTGGTTCCTCCTAACCCCCGGGGATGAAGGGGGTGTGGGGTGAGGACTTGAGGACAAAGAAGCTCTCCTAGTGGGGGAATACTGAACACAAGGATTGGGGGAGCGAGGGGAGCGTGGGGGAGAGTTGGAGTCTTTCTCTCTGGGTGGGGAGTTGGGGGATATAGACGATGACTGGGGGGATGGGGAAGCGGGTCGGTCCGATAACGACAGCAGGGAGGCTATAGAAAATGCTGATGGACGAGGACGCTTAGCAGGAGGACTTATGGGGCTCGGTGGGGTTGTGGGACGCGGGGAGGAATGGTTGTTATCGGGAGACGAGGAAGAAATTTCACTCGACGTCATTTCGAGCCTCGAATGAAAATGTCGCTCGTCATGGCTGCTCGCGTCATCCGAGTCGTCGTCGCCGACCACGTCGATCTCGCGCTCAGGCTTGCCGCCGTTAGCGCGGTACTCCTTGCGCAACTGCTCGATGGAGACATGGACGCCCTTGAGGGCGAGCTTGCGCTGCTGCCGCTCGAGTTGCTTCTGAATTCTCTTCTCCTTGCGGTGCTGCTCACGCCTCGCCAGCTCCTCGGGGGGGATTGGTTCCCCCGAGCACGTCTGGGGGTGCGCGTTGTGGGCGGGGCGGCCAGGGCCCTTGCGGGTCTGCTCCTTCTTGCGCCACTTCGCCCGACGGTTCTGGAACCAAACCTGCACAAAGGAATAAAATCCAATTAAAGTCTCAAAATACTGTATTTGACTTCTTTTGCCTCTCGGATTGTCTCGAATACTTCTATAGCAACGGACAAGAAAAATGATCTGGTCAAATCAAATGGTCTGGACTTCTATTTCACATGCCTTGTTACTAGAGGTCAACTTTGCGACAAATAAACGATCCCCGGAGATGGGGAAGATTCAAACGGTCGTTCGGTACCTGTTATAAGGGTTATCATATATACTTAGAACGTTCGATTTATTATTGATGCAATGGTTTAGCCGGCGTTGACCAGGATGCACAAGTAGACGCGTATATGTGTTTCTTGAGTAGCAGCTATTGTTTCCGCTTGATGGGTGATGGAGGAAGAGCCAGTAGAACCCGTTGCAGCACACAAGGTATGAAGCTGCAATATTGGGGGTGGCTGAGTTGATGAAGTAGCCGCGGATAAGAAGGAAGAATGTGTAGGCAACAACAGAAAATGAGGAATTGAGGTAGGGGGGCCGTATAATACTAATAGCTTTGTACGACGGAGAAAGGCGAGTGTACCAGCTGTTGTACGCAAGGGGACTGGAGGTATGTTGTACGTGTACGTGTGGAGCAGCAGCAGTACAGGAGGTGGAAGGGTGGGTACAGCAGCAGCAGCAGTACAGGAGGTGGATGGGTGGGTACAGCAGCAGCAGCAGTACAGGAGGTGGATGGGTGGGTACAGCAGCAGCAGCAGTACAGGAGGTGGAAGGGTGGGTAAAGCAGCAGAAGTACAGGAGGTGGAAGGGTGGGGAAAGCAGCAGCAGTACAGGAGGTGGAAGGGTGGATTATTTATCGTTGCAATGACGCCATTAGCGGCCCAGCAGCAAGCGGATGCACATTTCCTCAAGTTAGTGGCTGTCCCATCACAGTCAGCCCTAATATTGGGCGAGGTATAACATTTGTCTGGCGCCGCTGGTGCTAATGTGCGCTAATGATATCATATGCGGGCGTTAAGCAACGCTCTGGCCGCTGTATCTGATTCAGAGACAACGCGTGAGCTCTCAAACTCCTTCACACTTGCCAACTTCTAAAAAATACGTTCGTTGTTCTTTATTTAAAGTGTATGCAGTAATTCAATTTTAGGACCAATTTGTTTCGTTGGTCATCAATTTTGTACACGATTTTATTGCCAAACATGAAAAGGAAAAACATAATTTAATATTGCAATATTGCCCAACATGAAAAGGTTTCGATGTGAAACGGACTACCGTATCAACGAGAATATAAATTGTATAATTTTTCTAGCTCATTAACAGAACCATTGTTTGTAATCCTGCAAAAAAACTCACATTTTAGGTGTTTAGTTCGAGGCATATAAAAGGTGAGATAATCAACTGGTTATCGGGTATAAAATCAGACCAACCGTCGCCACAGACTTCATCACACTAGCACGAGCAATGACTTCATTTCTTAGCCTAATACACGTCAGAATTTCCAACCCGATTGTCTTGTCAAGACAAGGCTGGCCGTTAGCAAGGCATAGTCGCTTGCGTGACACTTACGATAACATGCCAACCTTCGCTCGCAATAAAGAAGTGGTTGCGGTTATAATGCTGCTTTACGTTATTATTTCTAAGTGTTTGTTCTCATTATGTCGTAATGACAAGACAAAAACAATCGTGAAAAAATATCATGATGAAGAACTTATTATGTGTAGCAGAAGATGTTTGCTCTGAACTCCACTAGAATTCTGATCCGTTTTGGGATTTAATCCCTCAAATCTAGTTTGATGGAACTTTTGTCCCTGGAATTTTAATTCTTATTCCAATAAGAATAATCTTCCTTAGTGATATCATTTCTGGAAATTTGTTAAAATCCTTGGTTCTTTTACAGAAATACATAACATATTAACATTAATGATTATGGGTGCGCATCGGTCGACTGTCATGGAAAAAACAGGTTAAAACTCCTAAGTATAAGATGGATATTCAGACATTCCCTGAAATTATGTTGAATGTAACGGACTGGAAACCATACAAGTACCAAGGCAAGAATAATTTCAGTGCTTAAGAAACCCCACAGGAAAACCTACGTAAGAACTCAATTTGCATGGTCGAATGAAGCAAAAACTTCAGTGTAGGAGCTCAGGATGCAACGCTAAGTCGCGGGGGGAATTATTTGGCACAGCGCTGACTAGTATGACTGCTTCATGAGGACGGTAATTATCAAGCATGTACATGATGTTTCAGAAGCCATTACTCCACATAAACCCTACCACTCACTCGCTGAATTTAGCCATCTTCTCCTAATTCTGTTAATCGGCCAGCAAATTGTGGTTATTACGTCGAAGCGAGCATTATGAATTTAATGGTTATGTTAACATGGCTGCGTATGGCGCTATGCATCCGGCCGACGGGCGCAGGTTACCGCTGACCAGACTGCTTTGCATGGCGGGCTGGGGGTGTCACGGGGGAGGATGTCACGGGGAAGAGGAAAACGTCACGGGGGCTGGGGGGGAATAGGGTGATGTGAGAAGAAGGGACACGAGAAGAGGGGGACACGTTAAGAAGAGACACACGAAAACAGGGGACACGAGAACAGGGGACACGAGAAGAGGGGACACAAGAAGAGGGGACACGAGAAGAGGGGACACGAGAAGAGGGGACACGAGAAGAGGGGACACGAGAAGAGGCGACACAAGAAGAGGGGACACGAGAAGAGAGGACACTAGAAAAGGGGATGCGCGTAGGATGTTTACCGACAGTCTGTGAAGTGTTAGTCGTCATCGTAATTTCACTACTGCACTAAACGCGCCACCATTAGAGAAGACGGCACATAATGCTGATCAGGAACGCTTTTCTTTGCATTTTACTGATATAAAATAATTTTCAATTTTTTTTGAAAGTTACTTGGTCAATATTGTTCACTTGTTTTGAAGATAGGTGGCATATATATGAACGCGGTGACTTGATATGATGGGCTTATCACCAAATAATGTGCAGAGCGAATGATGTGATGTGTACCTCTCATTAATTGCTGCGTCATTATAGCAACAGCTAATTAGTTCCCTAAAAACCTTATTTAATTTCAAAATATTTAATATTTGGCTTTCCCGATTCTTTTTCATTCTTATGCGCTGTCAAACTTGAAAGATATGCGCCTCCGTGCACATAGTTTCATGTCCTCGCAAGAAGACTTGATGTTAGGAAAATTGCACAAATCCATTGTGTGCAAGGCGAACATTTCCTGGCAAACCCATAACAACTAAACTGGTCTGGCGCGATGTTGCCCGCCCGTCCTCGGATGTCAGAGGGCTACTTGCAATTTATTGATGACTTAATTAAAAAATTTTCCCAAATACGAATTACGGCAATTATAATTGAATATTTAAATTCAATTGAACGATGCTCCTTCAGTGTGTTTTTCCAAACACCATCATACATTTTTTTTAAATGATCGATTTTATTTTTGCTGCAAGCAGTTTGTTGAATGATTACAGTCGCCGCCGCCAATGACTGTACAACATGTACATGGTTCGCAGTTGAGTGGGTACAGTCGCTGCCAAGTTACTACCAGTGACTGTACAGGGTTTAGCCGCAGATTACGCCATCCAAACCTTGATGGATGACTCCTCCCCTCAAGCAACGATTAGTGACTTCAAAAGCTCGACCTGTTAATTACCGGCACACACGGACAGACCTTCGATGTATTGGCCCAGGCTTGGGAACCGCAAGTGTTGTTACCTTCTGTCTTAAGCACGTTGAGCTGATAAATAATGTTCGATGCAATGAATTATAAATAATAATTATCATGTTATTGAACTTCGTGATCTCTATGGTTCACGATGAAAAATGTTTTAGTGATCACATGGGTTAATTTCTTCTTTGAACGACCACAATTAAGGGCAACACGATTTTGATACGATGATTTTTCAGCACTTCGGTGGTATTTTATGAATCCAAATGGTGAGTGAGTGACATTTTGCTTTTGATAAGTTGGTACTAAAAATAGTCGCCGCGGTCAGAAGACTTCAACAATTGTTTGATCAGACTGAAATAATTGATCTGTAATACAGCAGGGGTCGAAAATGTGGCGGTTCGGATGAGTTTTTTGACGGCTGCTTTTTGCTCACCACACTGAGTGATTGGGGTGAAAAATAAGGATACAAGCTCGATGTTGGCAGGAACTGCTGCTGCAAATGCCGCTCTGGGTGATGTATGACCAACCAGCTCACTAATTTAACCGTGTCGATATCGGCACCGCAGAGGACGAGCCAACCACTACACTGCGACCGGCAACTTCGTCGCCACCGACCCCTCCGTGTACACGAAGACTGTGTTTAACCCCTGCGATTTCATTAGCTCTTGTTCAAATGTGTACGCATTGAAAGTGGCAAAAATTGTTAAATAATTGAGTGTAGTAAAATAAAAAAGTTGAGTGAAATTTGTTTATTGTGCAATATAGGTCACCTTTGCGAATGATTTTGTAAGAAAACCTCTATAAGAAGTGTATATTCATAAAACCTGTATAGCCTTCATATACCTATATGGCCTTCATAAAACATGTATAAGAAGTGTGTATAACTAATAATACCAATCATTCTCAAAGAAGTGTATATTATACCTGTATAAGAAGTCTACCTGTTTATATGCCACATATCCCACAATGATTACAAATGTGATTTCTCTATACAAAGTGTATATAACTGAGAGTTTTATGTTTTTCGCGCGCTATTTATTTCAACGTTTATTCTCTTGACTCTCATATCCCAGCACCGCTGAAGACCACGCCGGCGCTAAGGTAGAAACTTCGCTAAAGGGACCCACAGAGCTCGGAGCTGTACGCGCTCTACCTATAATCTGGAGGCGTAACTGCGACGGGAAGCGAACCGGCAATCATTATCAATTACTTGTGACAGGCCCTTATGTAGTGCTGCCCTTTATTGATGACTTTATAAGGTACACAAGCGCTCGTCCTGCCAGCCTCGAGTTAAGATCAGCCAGTACTTGCTTGCAGCTCCAAGCAAGCGACTATCAAGAGTAACGTCTAGATTATTAAATAATTCATTTGTGAACCTTAATTTTCAATTGATGGGAAGAGCAGAACTTGGCTAATGCTTGTTGAAAATAGTGGTCTCGTGAATAGTTTTGTTCGCAACTTTTAAATTACATCCTATTAGAACGAAAAATGTTTTCTAGTCTTCGCTGTTATAGCAGTGCTCATATTGTGAAAATAGATTTACGTTGGCTAATGTACGATGAAAAATGATATTCACACATACAAAAATTATTAATTATTTCCCATCTTTAGAGGCAGCTCCAGAACAGCTTATCGGATTTCAGCAAAGGTGAATGCAAGGAGGAGAAAATCAATGATTCTCCTTCGAGAGCTACAAGTTTTTTCTAGCTTAAAAAGTTGTTTTCAATACTAACAAGTACTCGTAAGTCTTTTTTTATAGTTCAAACTTAAACATCCGCATCACGCGAGTTCGCCGGAAACACTTAATCCGTCTTGTAGGGTCTACACATACTAGACTTTGTCTATGTATTTATACGGCTGCTACTCGTGCGCTTATTTCTGCACAAAATAGTTCCATAGCTTCATAATGTCAGTTGACTTCGCGCTAATAGAGCGAAATTTCGTTTGAAAAATTTCCTTTAGGCTTCCTTACAAGATGGGAAACTTGACGTTGTTTTTGTAAATCAACCAAAAACAGTTCCATTCCAATAGTTGCTCTATACGTCAAGTAAACGGCCCGAGCGTGTGATTGCCTTTCGCATAATAACAACCAATAACACACAATGGCCAGGTGCGTGATAATATTCCGTGCAACATCGAAAGCTCCTCACAATAAAGCCCTGCAATAGAAAGCCGCAATAACGCGTTACAACAACACGTTACAATAATGATGTACGATAACATACAACAATACCACGACACCATATAACGCTGTACAATAACAGGCATGCAGTAACAAATCATAACGCTGTACAATAACAGGCGTGCAGGAACAAATCATAACGCTGTACAATAACAGGCGTGCAGGAACAAATCATAACGCTGTACAATAACAGGCGTGCAGTAACACCATAACGCTGTACAACAACAGACGTGCAGTAACACCATAACGCTGTACAATAACAGGCATGCAGTAACAAATCATAACGCTGTACAACAACAAGCGTGCAGTAACACACCATAACGCTGTACAACAACAGACGTGCAGTAACACACCATAACGCTGTACAATAAGAGGCGTGCAGTAACACGGCACCATAACGCTGTACAATGACATGCGTGCAGTAACACACCATAACGCTGTACAATGACATGCGTGCAGTAACACACCATAACGCTGTACAATAATTAACAGGCGTGCAGTAACACACCATAACGCTGTACAATAACAGGCGCGCAGTAACACACCATAACGCTGTACAATAACAGGCGTGCAGTAACACACCACAACGCTGTACAACAACAGGCGTGCAGTAACACCATAACGCTGTACAACAACAGGCGTGCAGTAACACGCTATAACGCTGTACAACAACACCACAATAACGCATTACAATAAGAGCCGTGCATGGCTATTGTCCGTCATCACGAGGAGGAAGGAGCGTCGTGGAGGAAGCGGATGATGGAGGCCGGTGGGCCTCCTCGAGTTTTATGGGTCGCAATGAGGGAGGCAATGCGCATGAGATTAATTGATTGGTGTTTCTGTAGCCCCGACAACTGTCATTACAGGGTGACGAACGAGCCTGGTTCAGGTGATGAAGGTGCATTACCCGCAGCACGGCTGCTATTACATCCTGCACGTCATGACTTCATCAGTGGCAGTCCGTATGTTACTAAAACAAGCGATTGATTTACTCCTGGGTAATGATTGGTGAGTGAAGAGGTATGATGTGAATATGCTTGGCGAGTAGAGGTATGATGTGAATATGCTTGGATTGGCGAGTAATGGAATGATGTGAATATGCTTGGCGAGTAGAGGTATGATGTGAATATGCTTGGCGAGTAGAGGTAAGATGTGAATATGCTTGGCTAGTAGAGGTATGTTGTGAATATGCTTGGCCAGTAGAGGTAAGATGTGAATATGATTGGCGAGTAGAGGTAAGTTTTCAGCAGTGGATTAAAGGCTTCAGTCTCTTCAGCGTTCAGCGCTTCGGTGCCATAGCTTCAAATATGCCATCGGAGAGATTAGATTGTCTTCACCGAGCAGCGATTATGTAGAACAATATCAAATGTATTGTTATTATCTTCAACATGTAGTATAGTCATGCCGTACCTCCGTATGTGCATGAGGTTCCAGGTTCAATTACTGGCAATTGGAGTGGACGGCGAAGGAAGGCAATAGTGGAGATGAACACTTCCTAATTTAACCTTGAATCCCATTATCATCAATGAATAAGCCCAACCACACAGCTTCCGTCGACAATTCGCAGTGCGCAACACGCGACTAATTTTGATGTTAAACATGCTAAATGTTGTGCTCATGAATTTTCTTAATGTTACTGCGAAAAAATTGCTAGAGGATGCTATAAAAAATTGAAATATTTTGCAAACAAATTCTTGCCCGCCCAAAAAAAGTTGCTGAGGCTCACACGCTGCAGAATATCTTGTACGGCACAACATTACAAGGAATTTGAACAAGTTTCACATTTATTAGTCTTACTCTGATTCGAAATTTCATACACTTTGTTCACTCTGTCGTTGAATAAGCACATTCTTTTAATATTATTGTCAATGACACAGATATTATTAACTTTATGGTTAAATATGCATAAGCATATAATGTAAACATTTCTGGTAAAAGTATAAATACTGTTAACATTATCATCAAGTTTTGTTGTATATAGTTCGTTGAGCTTTTCGTGGCATGCAAACCTAGGCCAGGCCGCTGCAGCATTGATGGACATGACACTTAATGAGCCACGGTAAAATGCGGCGTATCCTGAGATGCGTCCTGTGGGTCGTTAGATGACGAGTAATTGGCCAAGAGACATAAAGGGCGACCTCTAACAACGCGTTATTGGTTGTTGCTATTGCTGTGGCCGCTCCATGGATGGTTCCACTGCCGTGTTGAGTGACTGCTTCATGGAGAGCCATCATCACTGCAGCCTGCACGGTTCCACTGCCGTGTTGAGTGACTGCTTCATGGAGAGCCATCATCACTGCAGCCTGCACGGTTCCACTGCCGTGTTGAGTGACTGCTTCATGGAGAGCCATCATCACTGCAGCCTGCACGGTTCCACTGCCGTGTTGAGTGACTGCTTCATGGAGAGCCATCATCACTGCAGCCTGGATGGTTCCACTGCCGTGTTGAGTGACTGCTTCATGGAGAGCCATCATCACTGCAGCCTGGATGGTTCCACTGCCGTGTTGAGTGACTGCTTCATGGAGAGCCATCATCACTGCAGCCTGGATGGTTCCACTGCCGTGTTGAGTGACTGCTTCATGGAGAGCCATCATCACTGCAGCCTGGATGGTTCCACTGCCGTATTGAGTGACTGCTTCATGGAGAGCCGTCATCACTGCAGCCTGGATGTTTCAACTGCCGTGTTGAGTGACTGCTTCATGGAGAGCCATCATCACTGCAGCCTGGATGGTTCAACTGCCGTGTTGAGTGACTGCTTCATGGAGAGCCATCATCACTGCAGCCTGGGAGGTTCAACTGCCGCCCAGTTCTCCTGTCAAGGTGACTTGACTGCGCCAGGAAGTGACTGCTTGACGAATATGTCAACACGTCAGGCAAGACTCAGAAGCTTCAAGCGTGACTGTTGGAACGCTTGCTGAGATGCAGGCTGGGTTTTGTGGCTCCCAGGTTGCGGCGATTGCGGTAAACTAATAGTATTTATTATCCCAGTTTTAAATTTTATGTGCTTGTTTTGTTTTAGGCTTGGCTGTATGACTACCGTTTAGGATCTTGGATCACTGAAACGCCTTTTCACACCTACGCAGAAGCTATTTGTTCCATTCCTTAACAGTTAATGCGATGCATTCTCATTTCACTAGTTAATAGACGAAAATTAACAATTTAATTTTTTCGTTTGCAACGGATTGCCCTAAGAACTTGAAATATCTAACCATTGCATTGCCCCAGCTCGTCTGGTATTTTGGTAGGAGCATCGTATAATGCCTTCAATACCTTCAATAAGATATTCATTCTGTTTCTTTTACTTCAGAGATTGATAAATTTTAAAAATTATCTCTGATAAATCCATGCGCATTGTTTAACTTTTTTCTCTAGCCGATCGTTTAATAGAAACCTTCCGACTGCTAATAAATTGAGTTCGTTTCATCGTCTCGTGTTTAATCAGCACAAAAGGGAACCCAAGGTTTCCCTGCATAACTTTCTTTAGTTTTAGTTTCACGAATCGCAATCCACGACCCTCAATGCACGGCTCTCAATGCACGACTCTCAATGCACGACTCTCAATGCACGACTCTCAATGCACGACTCTCAATGCACGACTCTNCGGCAACTCTGCTCTCTGTGAGGGCCAGCCTCATGGCGAGGGCTTCCCTCATAAACACCTCCTGGCAGTGTACTCACGGCAACTCTGCTCTCTGTGAGGGCCAGCCTCATGGCGAGGGCTTCCCTCATAAACACCTCCTGGCAGTGTACTCACGGCAACTCTGCTCTCTGTGAGGGCCAGCCTCATGGCGAGGGCTTCCCTCATAAACACCTCCTGGCAGTGTACTCACGGCAACTCTGCTCTCTGTGAGGGCCAGCCTCATGGCGAGGGCTTCCCTCATAAACACCACCTGGCAGTGTACTCACGGCAACTCTGCTCTCTGTGAGGGCCAGCCTCATGGCGAGGGCTTCCCTCATAAAGACGTCTGGGTAATGTGAGGACTCGAAGGCTCGCTCCAGCTCCTCCAGCTGCCACGAGTTGAAGTTTGTGCGCGACCGCCGCCGCTTAGACGCCGCGTCGCCAGCGTCGCTCCCGTCGTCGTCTGAAACGCAAAAAAGGAACATTTTTTGACAAATTCTTGACTCCAGGTACAATTAATTAGTATTGGTATTAAGTGGGAATTAATGTGTTATTAATTTGTATTGCAATGTAAAGCTTTCTTTGCATGAAAAAATGCCTCAATTTTTTAATTTAATTGACAAATAAATCATATTCTGTTACTCGCAATGAGAGACCTAATTTCTTCTATGACTCGGAACTTTAAACTGAATACTAATACAAAGTTCTATTATAAATCAACATCATTTCCTCAGCCAAATTATACATTTCTATCGTGGTTCATGATGCAGCGGACAAGGATACAAATTAGATCACAGATTCTTGAGCATTCCATTCATCTACGCCAATCGCTGTTCTATAGACAGCACAAATAATGGTGATTAGTTCGAGATGATGGATTTTTATCATTCATTTTTCTCGTCTCGTCTTCCATCGATCTTCTGACCATAACTATGCGTGTCAATTTGTGACAACTGGGATGTGAATGAGGTTAAATTTTTGTTACTGATTGACCTCTGAATAATAAAAGATACCTATAATACATAAATTAGTCGTATGTTTTAGATATCATTTGCTTTTATTCGCTAGAAGAATCTTACGCTGTTATGTATTTAGATGTATAAAAAAATGTTGTCCCATATTGCGTGTCTCGCTGGTCTCAATTTTTTCTTGATGCCTACCGTAAAATTTATCATTTTTTTCTTTTGATTAATTGAAGTTTATTGATTATTTTTTGTTCGGCACTCGCTCATTACTTATAATGCCAGTAAGTATTTATTATTACGACTAAAATTCAATTTCACATACAAAATTAGGGGATTGAGGTTAAGTTCAGTCAAGTAGTTCAAATGTAATTTTCGGACGGAAATAGTATGTGTCTAAACGAATGTCCACCCTTTAACAATTCCTACAAATATTTGTTAATTTAAAATTTAAATTTCACGAAAAATCACTTTGATCCGATAAATGTTCTGCTCGATAATTTTATTTTTCTAATTTCATAAAATGGCTTCGTAAAAATAGTTTTCTGAACTTTTTCTTCTTATAATTTGAAGTTTGCTGCATTGAAAATAACGACGAAAATTTTCCTTCGACATCCACGTATGCAAGCTGTCAATTGTGTTACATCACTGAAAATAAAATGAATGTCGTATTTAATGTCATTTTTATTCTTCACTAAGCACGTAAATTTGCAGGCAAAAACGTGTTACCTAAAGGAGTTTTTAATATATTTATTTCGATCGTGTCGTGGGTATAGTGGCAAACAATGGATGAATAAAAATAATGAAAACTGTAATAATAGAAAACGATAAATACAAGAGAGCAAAATATAAGCCGTGTGTCTTGCTAGCCCTTGAATATTAATCAGTGATCATGTCACAGGTTCGGATCCTCTCTGGAAATGCACAAACAAGACAAATAAAGATTTGTAGGAATCTAAACCTAACAGATCGGAATATAACGCAAATATGGCAAAAATAAGTAAGAATTGAAACAAACATTAATACAAATACATATATTTATAAACCAGTTGATATTCGGACACACGATTATGGCATGAATAAACAAATTTAATACTAACAAGCACCTCCGTGGTATATCGCGAAATTGTATGAATATGCACGTAGCATGTCTACACGAGGTCACATAAGGGGTGACTCAAAAACTACATTAAAAATACCAGTAACTAATCAATCAAAAAGTGTACTGCACGGAATAAGCTAACAATAGAATTTCTCGTAGTGGACTTTTTACATTCGTATCAGAGTTGTGCTGGGGCCTCGTCGGACACTTAATACCTACATCGCCTGCGATCGCAAATTATGGCTCCAAATGACAGGGTATCTAATTCAACTTATTTTCGCTGTCTTTCGGCCATGTAACTCCAAATTTAACCGAAGCCTTCCCCGTCATTTGCTGTGAAATCGTTCGTCAAATATTGACGCAGAGTGACGAAGTCGCGACGAGGAGTTACGTGTCGTCAGGACGATGGTTATCTTCGGTTACGCAGGAGTGGTGTCATTTACTCGTCATGGAAGTGTTTTGGCTGCGTGTACCTCAACATCAGCGAGTAATGGTGCCTTGTGGTCACTCGCCGCGACGCCGCATGACAGTTCCATTTCCTTCAAATTGCGCCGCTACTTAATAACTTAATCGCCGCCTGCGTGCACCGAACGACACTTGCATCGCCGACCTGAGAGGCAACAGAAAAGAAGTGTTTGCATCGCAACACGCATGATGTGTGCTGCAAAAACTGCCTTGATTAATGCAATAACGAGTGCTTACGTTAATGCTTAACATCTGTCGCTTCGCAAGCCTGTCGCTGTGCTGCCATTTATTATCTAGAAACTCTATCCGCATTCAAGGGGCCACTGAAGCGCTGTTGGTCAACAGCACATAATTAAGTTATGATTCCCGTTGAGGCGATGCTCTAGGTAACTGGAGGTGTGATGAAGTCCAGCGCTGAGCAATGCATAATAACGGACGCGTAATTTTATAATTAATCTCCTTGCTCTCAGTACATGTTTCAAAACTGCCACAATACAATATACCTCATGGCGATAACTAGACGGAAGAACTAAAAGTATGATAATTGTATTGCCAACGGCCGAAAGAAAAATTGCAGTGAAATTAAAACCCACCTGCTGTCTACCTGCATGTGTGACAGTTGTAAACGATTAACATGGCCATCAGATATGCCTTTGTAGTTTCGTTCTGCAAAAGCTGAAAACTGAAATAATCAGCTACCGTGACTTGCGCAACTACTCCGTTGTACTGAAGCAAATTTGAGTATCACTTACTCAGTCAGAGAACTACCAACACTGTTCTATAGTTAGTTACTTCTCATTGTTTCGTTTCCATACATTTGTGTCGCGGAGAAATATTGTTGTTGAGATTTTTTCATTGGAGCTACATCTGACATATATGTAGCTGGAGTGGTATATACATGGAGTGGTTCAGAATTTTGTTTTCTTAGAGGCCAGTTGTATCTGACACTTATACCCTGAATATTCATTTCATATTGTCGTCAGTTTTTGAGCACAACGCAACTCTAAAAATTGACGCCCCTTCCTGTTGTTCTGTATAGCATTATGTTTGTTCGCTTATCTGTTTTAATTACGTTATCTTGACAGTGAATCCGAGTCAGAACCTTACAAGGGCATAAAATGCATGGCTTTTTGATTCCAGTCTCGGAGAGTATGCAGGTAAGCTACAGGTAAGCCGAATCTCATATATAATAAAAAAATTTCTTCGAAATGTTCAAGATGGTCAATAATGTGAATAAGATCTGCTTTTTGGATTGGCCCTTCTTGGCAGCGAGCTGATTGCTGTGGCAATATGAACACTGATGTTACAGCGAGTTAATTAATTGTTGTGACAGAGCAACTTTGTGTCTGTGACAGCGTGCTGATTACTGTGGCACTGTGCCCACTGCTGTGGAAGTGAGAGAGCTGATTGCTGTGGCAGAGCAGCTGTGTTTGCTATGGTTACAAGACAAGTTCCAGTTCCGTTCTTGCGAGGCGCTGACACTGATCCAGCTATCGTTTCAGTATTACACTATGCGATTATGAGATCATTCAAATGGTAGCAAGATACGTAATTACAAACTGTGTACGTTATTAATAACCGCTATAAAATCAGAGCGAACAGCAGACTCTCACAAAGACATGTCTGCTCATTCATAATATTATTCTAATTATGATTATACACAATCATCCTACACGTCAGGCTCGTCATTACGCGCTTCCAGACGAACGTCTTATGACGCGTTGTACGCTCCGATACGATGCGTCCCACGATATTTTAAGCATCAATAACATTTTGCGATAAGGGCTTCATAACGACTCATTATGTTGTCATGGTAACCTTGTATGCTTGATTGCTATCTCTTTGTTACGTGTAGAGCTTAGTGGCCTTGTTAGGGAAATTATTGGTTGTTACTTAGTTTCGAGGAATATCTCTATAGGATTCAATCAGCCTGCAGGGTAGTCAAGATCTCTAGGAAAATCTGAAGCAAATGCTGTCAATCTGGGTGACTTGTAATAACTTAATTATGATAAAGACCGAGTTCAGGCGTTCATGGTTGTCGCCAACGACGAAGACGGTTCGTTACTGTTATGCTTGAAGACATTCAAGAGAAAAGCTTAAATTCGTCAAGTGTAGAAATTAGATTTGAAGTGCCTAAATACCGATTTTAAGCTTAATTTTTGTCCCAATTCTAGGATATTTATTCCAGGACTTCTCTATTTTGGGCCCAAATCTAAAACTCGACAAATTGTTAATTTATTTATTACCATTTTCACGGTGCCCTGTCGTGCCGCCTGCACGCTTACCTTGAGATAACACTTTGCTGCTCAAATGAAAACATAACAAATTACCAGAAAATATTTGTCAAGTTGCATGGGAGCTGAGTTGGATTATTCCGTATTACCTCAGCATAAATAGGTTACTGGAGAATTCGTATGGTATTACGAGACAATTATTTCCAAGTCCCAAATCTCTGGCGCCAAAATGTTCTTGCGCGGCCAGTCCCCATAGAACGAACTTGAGGGCGGCCAGTCGAGTGCGCACAAACTTAGCACTTTCTGGTCTCAGGAGCATCACTAAATCTTCTCCTGTAATTACTGAGCCTGACACTTGTGCGACTTGGAAGTCATTATGCAAATATTCACTTAATTGTAACAGTCGGGATTTTTCTTTCCTACGGTGCGATAAACGCTCTACTCGATTGTTTATCCTCCACTTCTATTTAAAGATAAACATCGTGATCATCGTTCATATTTTGAGCGCTGACATCGCCTTCTTCCCGCACGATAATAATAGATCTGTTCCTGCGTAGCTGCATAGATTATGACATGCAAATGATTATACTCGTCGTTATTCACTAGCTGCGATTCTTGCCGTGCTCACTGCGATAAAGCTCGCTCAGGGTTGCTTTTGTACGGCGCTTGACTCGTGAATGTGATCGCCGTATCTCAAGAC